CCTCTGTTGCTGCACACTTTCCTTTCTTCTTCATCTCTGGTGAGATAATTAAGAACCTTAAAACTATTTAATTCTCGTATTTATTAGAACACTCTTGGTTATTTGTGCTTACTGATGCTAGTTTTGGTGCATGTTTATTCCCTTCATTGTTGTCTGGTTGCAAAATGTACAGAAAATTCTTTTTTGTGGTACTTTAACTGTTTATAAATGTCTGATGTTTGTTCAAGTATTGATCAGTGAGATGAATGTGTTCCAGTTTTATAGCATCCGACTGTTAATGGTATGAAGCACTTTTATGTAACATGGGAAGAGTAACCTGTACACAACCTGTATTAGAGTACACATTGTTGGTGTTAAAGAACTGAACCAATCATACTGGAATTTTAAATGTTATCGATTAACCGGCCAAAAAGAAGGCCACACTGTAATATTTCATTGAACTGCCTCTAGCTTTGATTACAGCACACATTCACTGTGGCATTGCTTCACTAAGCTTCTGCAACGTCACCAGACTTATTTCCATCCAGTGTTGCATTAATTTTCAACAACATCTTGCATAGACGATGGCAGAGTCTGAGTTGCACAAAGCCTTCTCCAGCACATCCCAAAGATTCTCAATGCAGTTCAGGTCTGGACTCTGTGGTGGCCAATGCATGTGTGGAAATGATGTTCATGCTCCCTGAACCACTCTTTCACTATCTGAGCCTGATGAATCCTGGCATTGTCATCTTGGAATATGGCCGTGCCATCAGGGAAGATGGAATAACCTGGTCATTCAGGATATTCAGGTAGTCAGCTGACCTCTTTCTTGGAGTACATCCTGTTGCTGAACCTAGACCTGACCCACTGCAGCAAGCCCAGATCATAGCCCTGCCCCCACAGGCTTGTACAGTAGGCACTAGGCATGATGGTGCATCACTTCATCTGCCTCTCTTCTTACCCTGATGCACCATCACTCCACCCATCTGGACTCATCAGACCAGTTTTAATAATACATTGGACAGTTCTTAACTAGGGCCCGGCCGATATGCTTTTTGGGGGGCCGATACCGATATAAAACTTTTAGCAAAGGCCGATAGCCGATATAATGGCCGATAAATCTCCCTCACAAAAAAGAAATAAATACAAATGTTCTTAAGATTAACCCCTTCATTCTCTGCCTTTTTGATGCTAACTTATTTCTCTATTACACACCAAAGAACTGTCTCAATAACTCACTAGGGTTTCCAAGTAATGCAAATTAGATTTATTTAGCAATCTCAAAAACAACAGAACACACAAACTACTACTGAAGATGAGCAGATGCTGCAGATGACATCACCGGATGGATCTTTAGTGAAGTGGTCCCACACCTTACTACGACCCTCTTTTTCCATCTGTAATAAAATAATCAGCATAAAAGTACAGTTATATATCTGTTGATACCAAGACAAAGTAAAATACATTAAATGTGGCATTTTTATACTTAAAAGTTTTAAAATTATCATGTAAATAAATGAAAAATTATCATATATATAAATGATATCAGACATTGCGGCTAAAAACCAATGGCTCTGTTTTTGTTTGGTTCCCCAGCTGTTAAGGGTTTCTCATTTACTATTCAAGTCTTTTTTATTTTTTTCCTTCCACTGAATTTTCTACTCCGTTTGTTGTCAGGTTTTTTTTCTAGTTGTTCTTCTTTTCCTTTTAGGATTCTTTCTTCTTTTAAATCATTTTCATTAATAGTTCCTCCCATGTTCCCCTGCTGTCCTCTGCTCCCACTCCCAGCTCCTCCTCATAACTAGTCCTCTGTCATCTCTCACTCCTCAGTGCATACGGTTCAGTTTCAGTCATACTCTGCTGGTTTCAGCGTCCTAGCTACCTGATTTTATGTCTGTCACCTGATTTTTGGCATTAAAATACTTTTTAGTTTTACACTTTTGTGTTTTGATCCTTTCCAAAGCCGACAGTATTAGGGAAATAAAAATAAGATACATTAAATGACTAGTATGTGGCAATATATAAGCCTTATGTAAAATACAAGGCTGAAAAAATACAATGGATTTATTCTATTGTAGAGAGGAATGTTTATTTTCTCGTATTACCGCCCCTACTCTTCTCCCAGCGAGGGGGGGGGGGGGGGGGCTCCCTGCACAGCGTTTCATTGCTTTGTTGCCAACCCCCCTGTTACAACCCGTCTAGGAGGGCCAGGCTGTAACATAAAAATGGTTCCATCTTCCACCAATTCCAAACCACCACACCAGAATTCCGTGTACAATAATTTATTCACAAGATCAAGGTGATGAACTAAGGACGAGGGAGGATAAATAACTCGGGGTGAACCAATTCCTAAAACAATAAACAAAACACCTCTAACTTCAGGATGACAACTGACCTACAAACTACAAACTTAAAGGAAATAATTGACAACCAAACTTGCCTCCCTGACTATCCAAAACAGGAGAAAACAGGAATGCAAAGAAAAAAAGGCGGTTCACCCCTACAGAATCCTCGAATGGCAGGTACTAGTCACAAAAGGCACAAGGGCATCACACAAACACAGAGCATCAAGTGGTGGCTGATTGGAATGAGTGGAGGATGAAGAACCCAGCTGCATCTCATCAGGCTCCTTTTAACAGCTTTGTCCCAGCTGATCTTCCAATCCAAACGTCCCCTGGCCATCGTCCACCAATCCTAGGAGGGCACCCGCACACTCAAAATAACACTAAAAAAAAGAATAGTATAAAAATAAAAGAAATAATGTTCCTTATGACCGTGGTCATAACACCCCCTCGCCCGTCCTCAGCTGCGACAACGGTCGTGTGCCGCCGAAGCGCCGCGAAACAGGAACCGCCTTCATTCGTCGCCCTTGTCATCCTATTCTATAGGCCACATGGGCCACCGAAGCGCTGCACGCCGGCGCTCCAGCCCGCGCGCCGTGCAGCGATCGTTTTGGCGTCTGCACTATTTTTTCCGCGAGCCGCGGGTGAACCGCGTGAGTTTAAAAAGACTGCTGAAGAGCGGAGGAAATTGAGAATATTCCAGAATGTCTACCAGAAAAAGGCCAGCAGAAAAAGGGGAAGCAGCGTGAGCTCTGCATAGAGCGTAATGCTGCGGCAGTCTTATTTTATTTTTTCAGGTTAACTTTTCAGTACGAGGCCACGAGGCACACAATAAACTTAGGAAGCATGTTGAGGGGAAACATACTTTTATCATTGCTTATTTTACCGTTCAACTTACCACTGACACAACAAATATGCTTAAAACTGAAGACTTACCTCCTACTTCCTCATCACCGTCATCTCTGCTTGACTGAATTGCTTCTGCTGCTCTGCTGCATGTGTGCTGTGACGGTGGCTCCACCCCCCGAGGAGTGGAGCCACACAACATGAGTTCATAAAGCTGGCGCCATCTGCTGGATAGGTAGCGCTATATCGGCCATATCGGCCGTCTTTTTGGCCGATAACCAATAGTGTTAATGACCCCTATATCGGCCGGGCCCTATTCATAACCCAGTTTTAGTCGTTTCTGCGATCCCCTTAGATGTTTTCTCTGCTTGATGCATGCTAATGATCTGACTATTCTCAAACAGACTTGCATCTTTTCCACAACCACCAGATGTGTCTTTCCACATGGTTGTTTAAGAAATAAGAAGCAACTCATTGTACTAGTGGGAGTTAAATAACTTGTTGCAGGTAAAAGATAATTGTCCATGCAGTAATTATCCAATAGGAGGCTCCAACCTATTTGCTTAGTTAAATCCAGGTGACCACGTATTTATTTATTTGCAGAGCAGTGTGTATTTACAGCTTTTTTCAATCGCTAACAAGCGCTCACCCAAATGTCAGATACTTGTTCTAAACTCTTAACACAGATTCACTCCTGCAAAACACGATTGGCCAAATGGATAATTTTCTTCTCAAGAAGACATTTTGATAAACATATACTAACTCTTCATTTCAAAATAGAACATATCTTTCCCTGCACACACTTCCTTTACCAAACACTGGACATCTGACTCAAAGTGAAATTATTCTGTCAAAAAGTTGAACTTGTTTTCACTCCACAAGATACATTCAGTCAAAGTACACCAGGTTTCAAAATACTGGCGATTGTTGTCATTACAAAAACCACATAGAGTTTTATGTTTTAGTGTTAGAGATATTTGCATGCAAAACATGCAGTCCACCATTTTTACACTACATTTCTTGGTTGTGAACTGTACGTCCACATATAATGTGCACATTTCAAAGCATTCCAGTAAAAAGCTAATTCCTTTACTGTTTATTTCGGGAGGTACAGCAGAAATGTTCACAGTATGACGGAACAGAAATTGCTCGTAGTGAACAAAATATCAATGAAACAAGCAAAAGCATTTCAAACAAAAAAAAAAAAAAACTGCACAAAGCCCAGATAAAAAGGAGGCAACTGCAAAACACACAAAATTACTGTAGCTAATCTCTACGATCTTCAGGGTTAGGCCACATGTTTTCATCAACCTCGCATCTGATATCATCCAAAGCGATGCACCTGGGATAAAACCGCTTGCTGTGTTGTATCCACCCTTGGCATTCATCAACCGTGATTTCCCTGCAGCCAACATCCAAAGCTTCCAGGAGAGATGTGTGGTCATGTGGCTGATGGTCGTAAGCCTTCCACCTCCATGCAGAAAAGAACTTCTCATGGAGTTGAGAAAAGGATATACACTATACCTGGACATATAGTTGTTGCAGCTCCATGACTCTGTCACTGTTCCTCTCTAATGGAACAGTGAAGAGCTGCTTCATCCTCACTCTGTGTTTGGACAATGTCCGTGTAATGGTTGTGAAGCTGATGCTATCAGTATTGTCAGATATCTCATGGTCTTCCACTATTCTAGTCTGAATTTCATGCAGTTATATTGCATGTTTGCAACAACCATTTCCACAATGGCAAGCTCTTGATCATTATTGAGGAGCTTTCCTCCTCTTCCCTCAGCAGGTGGAAGCTGTTGTATTCTTTAGAGGGAAAACAAGTATTACTGTATCGCCTTATTTATACTTCAAGTGACAATAGATGCA